CCCCCTCCCCCCTTCCCCCTTCCACACACAACACACTCGTGGGCACACACACACACAGGCACACGTGCACGCACTGTGGTGATCTCGAACTGTGCACAACCGCCTTTTCGGCCAGGAAAGTGTACAGCGATAATTATCCACTTTGGGCTTTTGTTCGCTCGAAATGCCGTCCCGTCAGCTCCGTATCGGCAGCAAGTGTGTGTGTGTGTGTGTGTGTAAATCGAGTGGGGGAGAGGGGGCAGACTAGCTCAGGTAAGCGAGTCGAGGCAAGGGGCGCCCGGCCGGTGTGCGTGTGTGTGTGTGTGAGCGCGTGAGAGGCGCGCAGTCCTTGCCGAATGACCCCGACCCCGAACAGTTATCTTTGCTTTACATATATATATTTTTTTTTCAAAGGTGGGCACTATGATATCTAATCATCAAAGCGTAGTTCGAGACAAGTGCACGAGAACTCATGGCAAGAGTATTCCTGAAACGATAACGCGCGCCGCGAGTTCACATTTTGTACGCTAAAACGGCCACGATTTCGCTGACTCATTTTTTTTATATATTTTTATTTTGCTGGGATTTGATTACTTTTCTAAGTGGAAACTGGACACACGTGTGGGTGAACATCGTGTACTGTAGGTGTCTGGTGTCTGTATGCCCATTCGTACACTTTAGGAAGGAGGCACAAGCAGTGATTTTTAAATGGAAAATTCACACTTTTAAGTGTACAAATGGGCGTTCGCCACAAGTGTGCTCGACGCTCACACACTTGCGTTTCCATTGTGCTACTCGCATGTATAACGTATTGCTGACAGTGTGAGCAGGCACGTGGCCCAGAAGGTGGAGGGGGGGGGGGTAGGATAGAGTCCGCAAATGATCCGCGGGCAGCCGCCCAATTCTGCTGCTAGGCTGGCTCTGATGGAGTCCCAGCTGACAGGAGGCACCCGGTCTGGGGCGCCCTCGCCCGCCCTCGCCAAAGGGCTGCTCGCCCACGCCGGTATCCGCACCCGGACGAGGGGAGAGGGGGGGGGGGCTAAAGTTTTTGTTGTTGATCCATAAGACCTTACACGCATGCAGCGCAGAATCTGAGTGTAAGCTGCAACAAAATAAAAACAGTTGCAAACTATTCCGAATAACCTTAAGGAGAAAGGAGTTCTCTCACAGAATTTCAGTATTTTAATATTTTTATGTGCACCCAGAGAATCGTTTCTTTGAATCAACGAAGCCTGCTTTAAAACAAAGAAATTCTTTACTCAATATAGATTTAAAGAAATGTTTTTGAATCAAAGCAGCCTCTTTTGATCCAAAGAGGGCCTTCTTTGATTTAAAGATGTTTGTTCAATTTAAAGAAACAATCTCTTTATTTCAAAGAAATATATCTTTGATTCAAAGAAAAACAGCTAAATTG